GTCCCAGGACCCCAAAAGGCCCCCAGGTGTGGGTGTCCCGTGCCAGGATATCCCATTTTCCCCAGGAGAAGCAGGACAAGGTGGTTCTCCAGGCTGAGGTTGCCAACCTGCGCCAGAACAACCGGCGGCTCCAGCAGGAATCCACCTCGGCCGCGCGGCAGCTCCGGCGCTTCGCCAGGATTTTCTCTGGAGCTGGAGCTGCTGAGGAGCCCTGAGGGGCACGGGGGGGTTTTGGGGGGCTCCAGGATCAACCCCCGGGGCAAAGAGACCCCCCAGGACAGCGACGGCTCCTGTGGGATCGTCCCCGTGGGATCGGGAACAGCCGGAGCTTCTCCAGAGCTTCTCTGGAGCTTCACCAGGATCTTCTCCGGAGCTGGAGCTGCTGAGGAGCCCTGAGAGGGACAGGGGGTTTTGGGGGGGCTCCAGGATCAACCCCCGGGGCAAAGAGACCCCCCGGGACAGCGACAGCTCCTGTGGGATCGTCCCCGTGGGATCGGGAACAGCCGGAGCTTCTCCAGGAGCCGTGAACGGGATGGAGAATCCAGGGAGGCTCCAGAGGATTTGGGGGGGCTCTGGGATCCCCCCATGGGGACACTGAGATCCCCCTGGGGACACCAAGCCCCCCCCCGGGACAAAGAGACCCCCTGGAACAAAGAGACTCCCCCAGGACAGCAACATTTCTTGTGGGATCATCCCCGTGGGATCGGGAACAGCCGGAGCTTCTCCAGGATCTCCGGAGCTGCAGCTGCTGAGGAGCCCTGAGGGGCACGGGGGGGTTTTGGGGGGCTCCAGGATCACCCCCCGGGGCAAAGAGACCCCCTGGAACAAAGAGACCCCCCCGGGACAGCGACATCTCCTGTGGGATCGTCCCCATGGGATCAGGAACAGATGGAGCTTCTCCAGGGCCGGGACCACCAACGACCCCCGAGAGGGATGGAGGGTGTCCACGGAGGCTCCAGGACCCCCCTGGAGACACTGAGACCCCCCCCGGGGCAGTGAGACCCCCCCGGGACAAAGAGACCCCCCGGGACAGCGACAGCTCCTGTGGGATCGTCCCCGTGGGATCGGGAACAGCAGGAACTTCTCCGGAGCTTCTCCGGAGCTGGAGCTGCCGAGGAACTGTGAGGGGTCTGGGGGGGTCCAGGACCCTCCTGAGGACACCAAGACCCCCCTGGCGACACCAAACTCTCCTTGGGGACACTGAGACCCCTCCCTGGGGCAGTGAGACCCCCCCAGGACAGCGATGTCTCCTGTGGGATCGTCCCCGTGGGATCGGGAACAGTCGGAGCTTCTCCCGGAGCCGCAACCAGGACTGAAGATTTGGGGGATTTGAGGGGCTCTGGGACCCCCCCTTGGGGACACCGAGACCCCCCCTGGGGACAAGGACACCCCCCTGGGGACACCAACACTCCTGGGACATCGACCCTTCCCTCTGGATCATCCCCATGGGATTGGGAGCAGCCGGAGCTTCTCCCGGAGCCGTGAACGGGACGGAGGATTCGGGGGGGCTCCGGAGGATTTGGGGACACTGAGACTCCCTTGGGGACACCAAGACCCCCTTGGGGGACAAGGAGACCCCCTTGGGGACACCGACACTCCTGGGACACCGACCCTTCCCTCTGGATCATCCCCGTGGGATTGGGAGCAGCCGGAGCTTCTCCAGGAGCCGTGAACGGGACGGAGGATTTGGGGGGCTCTGGGACCTCCCTTGGGGACACCAAGAGCCCTTTGGGGACAAGGAGACCCCCCTGAGGACACCAAGAGCCCCTTGGGGACAAGGAGACCCCCCTGGGGACACCGACACTCCTGGGACACCGACCCCTCCCTCTGGATCAT